CTGTCGCGCAGTACAGATCTAGCAGTATATGTACTGGTGTCACTGAAAATTCTTTTCCATTTATAAGTACAGAGAAAAGTAAAGAATTTCAAGATAAAAGAAGGAAAATTGGTCAAAGGGAACAATAATACACGAGTCAAGAAAATATGAATCTTTTTACTCGGAATATTCTTCAAAATGATCCTTATATATTTTCCTGTTTTAAATCCTTATTTCGCCATGGAAATGACCACGCCATATTAAGTGACCGACACTAAGTTCACTGTTAAGAATGCTTCAAATACTCTAGCAATAAAACCAAAATATAAGACACCCTAATCATACAATTTTTCGCGTAAATTAACACATCCTGATCTAAAATATTTCCACGTGTATGTTGTTGCAGTACCGATCTAGTAGTATATGCACTGGTGTTTACTTATGTTCACTTTGACCCTAGCTATGAACGACGTATCTCACCCGTGATACTCATGTTTGACCCGATTACCTTACCACGAGTCACACGATATTCTAGACAAAGGTGTTAATCCTCGCATTTCAGATTTTCATATTCGTGTCTTTAATTTCATATCGTATTATACCTTAAATAAATAAAAATTATAAATAAGGAAGAGATTCGTACGAGTACTCGATTTAGATGAATTTGTAAATTTCTAGATCCTCTTCTTTGAAACATGGATAAGAATTCGACAGATATTAAACTTCTTTCGATTTAGTCTGCTTAAAAGGAGAAGATGATCTCAGAATTTTATCTTAACCAAGAACTTAAAACTTACTATCAAAGTACCACAAACGATACTCGAACCCCCTATCCAACGAATCGCGTTAGCCTTTTATTTTTTCCCAGACTCCAGGAACCGCGTTATACCATAACTTTCAAAACCTCGAGGATTCGTCCTCGTTTCTGAAAATATCTCGCGCAATGTCGTTAAAATTTCTCGACACCTTGCCTTCCAGTGCACGTGCCCCATTTCCACTCGTGGCACGGCCAATCATGCTACACATGTTTTACACGTGATAAACAACGATCGTCCGAATCCCAGAAACCCCTAGGTTTCCCCTAGGTGACGAAGTTAATTGCTCATTTTCTCATCTCGTTAACTACAGACCCGGACAGGAACACGTCGAAGGTCTAGGAAACGGAGCACGTGTAAAGGAAATCGTCCATCGATCTGGCCACATGTTTCACTTTATTATTTCGACTATGACTGCGATTTGTAATATTAATTAAGTCTGTAGGTTTTACTCACTGGTGCTCGTAAAAATCAGCCACTATTGAATTTCAAACTCGAACTGATCCCCTTTTAAGAAAATAACAAATGAAAGCGAAGTGTACTATAACTCCAGAACTGAAACCTAGAATGTTTTGTAACTATTGGGTTGGCAAGAAAGTACTTTCGGTTTTTTAGTGTGAAATAAAACTCAATTTTTTCTATACAGTAAATGAACTTTAATCGGTGAAATATCTTCCATTCTATTCGATGACCTTTTGCCATCTTTCTGGTAACTTCATGATCCCGCGCTCATAGAATTTCTGGTCCTTATCTGCAAAAAACTTAACCAAGTGCGTAAATCTCAGAAGGTCGTCCAGAACGTAGTGGGTATCTTTCAGTGAAAAATCTTCGGAACGAAATTTTTTAAACTAATTCTGACACGTGCGTTCTGTTAAACAATCAACACCATAAACTTCTCATATCTCTTTGCGAGCCTCAGCCGCATTCTTGCCTTTATGAAAATAAAAAAGTAAAATGTGTCGAAAATGCTTATTTTTACACTCCATGTTAAGACTGACCGTGAACTGACAGTTATAAACGAAATTACACGGAATTTTACGAAATAGCAACCTAAAGGTATCGACTACCACATCTCAAAAGAAAAAAGTTCTAACATTGACAAAAGCATAACTAAACGAGCATAACGTTATTTACTGATGCAAACCGAAATTACTTTCTCGTCAACCCAATAAATGCACTGTAAAATTAATAACGATTGAAGCAGCGTGCAAATAAATAGGGCATGTCTAATAAAATTACGGATTAATATTAATTCCTTCGCCAATGCGATTTATTTTTTAACTCATTTCTGCTAACTTCACAGTTCTCCTGTCAAAAAATTCTATTTAATGGAAAGTATAATTAAGAATTCCCTATTTTCCAATTTTTCCCAAAGCGTCGGTTTCTCGGTAAAAGAATCTTTTAAGAATTTCCGAGTTAATTCCTGCGGACTTAATACGCACGAGCATAAGGTCGTGCTAACTGTGACGACTGGCTTCTCTGTAATTATGTAAATACCTGCTAATGAGCCGCGTCTATATCCGGTCCCGCGCGGCCATTTTCCTACAGCAGAACAGCGGCTGGCGAATTGAGCAAAATGGCTGAAAGCGAAGCGACATTGAACGAGATAAAAGTGACTAAGAAGCGGACGAAAGCGAAAGTTCCACGCAGAATTCCACAGGATTAAATTCCCCATTACTTCCTCTTATTACGTGCTCGATTAACTTTCCGGCGTGAGTGGAGCCACTAAATTCACCGGTGTGTAATTAACCAGCAGCGGCGTAACGAACCGCGAAAGCATAAAATTCTATTTTCTCAGCCAGATATACTCCAGTTCCGTTCCGCGCTTATCTCTAATCTCCACTGTTAATTACATAATCGCGGATACGCGGCCCACACCGACAGGATATCACGTGTTTCTCATATTCTCACGCAGGAAATGATCGTAGGAAATAGAATTGGAAAAGAGACGCGAAGAATCCCGCTGGAATTTCCACGACACCGGGAATGTAAACAATTGTCTGTAATCCTTTTCGCATAACCGACGCAAATAATGCTCCAATTGCGCGAAAATTTGTAAGACAAATCGCGATACTCTTTAACGCGGCATTAACGAGAATAAATGGGAAATAACGCGAATAATTTATCCGTGCAACGCGCGCAAACTGCAATCCGATGCAAATCTAGAACTAGAATGCAAATCGGTTTATTCGACGCAGGAAGAACGCAGCACTCCTCGTTACCTTCGTGATTCTAATTTTCTCCATCGAAATTATTGCGAAGCTTCGAGCGTAGATTTTCGAAAATTAATTTCAACCGATCGTTAATGGAAATGGAACAGAAATAAAATTATTTAATTATTTAAATATCCGGTACTATTTGAGGATCGTTTAATTAAATCTTCGAGGTTGTATCGGGCCTGTATTTAACACTTTAAGTGTCCAGCCCGTTTCGTTCAGGCCCAAACTCGGCTGTCAAGTGAGCCACCGGCGGCAGGCGAAGTGTTCATAGAACTCGGAAATGCTGTACCAATTGTTATAACAGGAATTCCCAAACGTTAGGTTCAAAGATGGCGAAGAATTTAACACCAAAAGTTAGCACTTTTTGGTCCTAGTCTGGGCCGGTTCCTGAGTACTGGCCGGGCCCGAATGGAAAGTCTAGCGTCGGTCCCTGGGACCGGCGTTGCACTTAACGTGTCAAGCCTTGTAAATATTGCTTAACAATGAAAACGCGTTGCTCTTTGGTATAGCGTTCCATTTTTAATAACCCCGAAATGTCAGCTGTCACGTTGTCTTTTATTTTCTTTGGCACCGCTTTATTTCGCAAATGGCGCGAAATTTGAATCTTGCATGAACTTTGGGACACCCAAATTCCCTTAACCCTTTGCACTCGCCGATTTTTTGGCTAATGTAGAGTAGGAGCTCAAAGATTTTCTGCTATAAATCTGACGATATTTTCTTCAGCAGTAAATAAGAAGTCACGTAATAATTAATACGTAGAATTATTTGATTCCGATACCTCGCATACTATACATTATCTTAAATTTGACATATTAATGAATATCGAGCTTCGAAATTTTATCAAATGGCGACTGAAGAGGATGGTCTCAAGTTGACATATTTAGTCCTAAGGTGTTATGAGAATTTTTTGAGACCTTCCTGAAACTGGTACTACGCGATGGTGAGCTTCGTTTGCACGATTAGGGTTAAAACGAAGAGACGTTTAGCCTTTTGCACTCGAGAGGCGACTCTCTGTCGCCATTTAATCGGATTCTAAAGATCGTTATTAATTAATATCTCGAATTTAAAATTGCTCAACGACGTGGGGAATATCGAGGTAAAATAATTCTAGGTCTTATTGTTAATTTGCACTTCTTATTTGCCGTCTTGAAAATATCGTCGACTTTATGGCTGGAAGTCATCGAATTACTATGTTTCTGTAACGAACAGATCGCCGAGTGCGGTTAACTGTCGGCAAATGGCCGCCCAATTCTATTTACCACTACGAAGACGTATTACAAAGCAACTCGCGTACGTTTGTCTTCCCGAGCGATACGACACGCATGATTATAATATACTAAACAAATAAACGATGAGAAAATCAGAAGAAACACGAAAGAAAAAAATTAATGCATTTGCAATTTGTACCTCGCTTAGTGGATCAATTAGTTGAAGATTTTCGTTAAGCTAACCTCAAAAATCCTTCCACTTCTGGAACCGTAGAACGGCTGAAGGGCCTTTTACATATTATTCGTTAAGGTGACACAGGAAGGAGTAAAAATTGTGTGGTATGTTCCAATGGAAAAAATCAAAGGTGGAAGAAGAGAATCAAGGTATTATTGTGCTACTTGCTCGACTAAACCGGCCTTGCACATAGGTGATTGTTTCGAACGATACGATACCATGCACGAATATAAAACGCGTCATACATAAACATGACATAACTAAATATTTTTCTTGGATTTTATCGAAAAGTTTTACCGTATATTTTGTCTACTATGCGCGTGGATATCTCTCGCAGAGGGTTAAAAAGATAAATTAAGTAACGTCGATAATAATCGGTATGTACGTACCGAGGATACAAGATGCGAATATAGCAATCGAACAGAGATGGATAAAATTTGAAAACAATCATCGGGTGAGAGTCAAAGCCAGAAAACGCAACGGTGTAATATTAATGCATCATTTATTTAACACCTATGATGACGATAACATGAGATGCGCTTAAGGTAGAGTAATCCGCTAGGCAGAATGACGGTTGTGCGTGCGTGCATTGCGTGCGCGTGTGTGTCTCGCGATATAATTAATACTATGGGGAAGGATGTAAAGAATAATTGTGACAATTCGGGTAATAACTATTTTTAATTTGCTGACTTGGAGAGATTTCAGAATTTCTGCAGCGTCCGGTGTTATGATACAATAATAATAGTAATATATATATTTATAATATATATATATATATAATATGTATATGGCAAGATCATTGGTCAATAAATATTTTACTTAAATCTGCAGCCAAATTCGCCAAATAATTAACCCCGTCGATCTTCCTCTTCGTTGTATCTTCCTTCAATAACTTAATCATCGCGATAAATTCGATCGATCCGTGATTTTTGAAAAGAAAATACACACTCTACGAGCTGGATAATATTATTCAAGGAACATAGACCCCTCCGTGTGAACCTTTGCACTGCCAGCGAAGAGGACGTTCGCTACGAAAGAGACAACCGTTACGAAAGATCTTCCACTTGCAGTAATTATTTGGAAAATTTAGACACGCCTTTCGTTGGCCTAATTCTCTACACTCTATACGAACTAGAGGCTCTGTTGTTCCAGCGGCCGGTCGGACATATCGTCAGTCACTATGAAGGTAATAGTGCGCGCAAAGTATTTCTCTAATACTATCTGAGTTGTACGCTAATAGTAGATCCTTAAAGTAAATTAGGTAACACTATGTACACTTGCTCGACGCGGCGTGAACGATCTTCGCGTACGTTCGTCCGGCCGTATAACAAAAGTTCCTTCCCCGTCCAGCAGCTCCTCGATCATCCCCTAGCACGCTAATATCACGTTTGCCTCGTCCCTCCACGATGACGTTGCACGAGCGTCGCGTGCGCCATTTTGTCGCCACGTTCGTCCCAGCGCCCGCAGTTCGTTGTTCTTCCGATTGCTGTTCGCGGTTCCGAGCTCGTGTCTCTCTTTCGCGGATGCACCCACCGGATCTTGCGAATTAGTTCGGTACACGAGACTCCGTGGCTCGCTTCTAGAACCAATAGAGGTCTTTGGATTCCTGCACCTGAGACTCGAGACCTGGAACACGCAGCACACAACGGGATTTTTAATTTTCACATTAACCTTTTCCCTCCTTTTTATTTTTATTTTTACTTCATTTTTCCACGTTCGCTACTAGATGGGCAAACTATTCTTTATTTCTACGACTCCTGGCAATTGGGGATTCAAATTTCAAGGTACCTATATCTTTAGCCATCAAATTAACCCTTTCGCTTTGACAGTTCAATCCACTGAAGTATCGTCACTGAACGGAAGCATATGCCAGAAATATGCATAGTGCGCCAGGTTTCTGTATATTTCTGTACTGTTCCTAAGTCTTAAATAACAACTGTGCTGAGTAAAACAATCGTATACAGATTACACTTGTATACGCATCATTTGGATGTCGGATATAGAGGGTGCCCGTGCCCAGGAGTCGTCGCTTATATGCGACGCTCGTATTTAGAGGTTATCTCGTGGACGCCACCTATATGCGGCGCTCGAAGCGAAAGGGTTAAATCACCGTGTTTTTCTCTCCCCTCTTCCCCGTGATAGTCTTCTAGATAGATAGATAGGCTTTATTGTCTTCCATGTATAATCGAAAGAATATCGGATCTACGCAAAAGGTTTTGAAACACCTAAAACGGACAGAATAATATGAACAGAATAATACGAACGCTAAACTCGGAAAACTAATTGAACGCGAGAAAAGAACACTAAAATAACGTAACTATAACACACGGAAACACGCTCTAATTCGACTCTCTCCAACACCGAACGACTCACGCCTGTGCCGGTCACAATCTATTTCTACGAGGACTCTTCGACCCTTCTTCACTCAGGACTCTGCCTGCGTCGTCGAGGGTCCAGTTTTTATGCTTTTCGCAAAGCTCGATGGCGTGCTTTTTCCAATAGCTAATTGACTGATATGATTCAGCCCATTAGCGATTTACTCTCATAAAAAGCACGTCATTTTCCGAATTCGCGATTCACCCCCCGCGACGATTACGATTTCGTTGACCCGCGTTTCATCTGCCCGTAGAGACCGCGCAACTTAGCTTTGCTGCCAGAAATAGCCTCTCGTGACGGTATCGGTTTCGATTTGCTTCTAGAGAGTGCCATGCACAGGTCATCGATCGGTTTATAATTCGTTTTTCCTAAAATAAGAAATCCCAAATCGGCATTAACCTATTCTACAACAGTATTTCACAGAAGAGAAAGACGAAAGCAAGGAACTGGTTATCGAAAGGAAAGCTGAGCAAGCCTGGCCGACGAATGCGTTATCCCAGCCTCGCAGCTGTCCCCGCCGATTTCTATGCAGCGGAGGCTGTAGCTCTCGGCAATCATCAATTAGACTGGAACGATACCACTGACGATCCACGACAGAACTTTCACGCACAGGACAAGTAATTGGTTATTCGAAAAGATAGGGAATGACTTTTTCGTCCGAGCGGCCGGCTCATCGTTCATCGAAATTTATAACGCGGCCGGCCGCGTAATAAAAGAAGAGTCAACGTTTTGACGGATGCGAGGGTGCAGAACTGGTGATGGCACCCGCTGAGCGACACGGACGGACAAACCGGCGGACGGAGCAAGGTAACGAACGGTCGAACAGGACGAACGGATGGGGGACCAACGGAATATGTCACGAGATCGACCAGTTAAGATCTCATGTTCCTTACAACGGTTGCACGCATGCGTCCGGGGCTATCTCCGATCTTGATATCTCCGAAGAGTGACCCTGCAGATCATCCTGGCCCTCGACTTTCTGCCCTTCGACGAACCGCAGCAACTACTCGCAGGCATTCGTAATTGAGAAGACGCTTGTGACAATCGGACTGTTTTCCAAGAAATAATAGACACTTTGGAAAGCGTATTCTTGAACGTCTTCTTGAGTCAGACACGCGAATACGAAGACCTAGAATGGAACTGTGAACCTGTTTTGACAGTGGATCTACGTTTATTTCTTTTTTATTCAGCTTTATGGAACATAATTGCTTGTTTACTACTGATTGACTAGGAAAATGAAGGCGTATATGATGATTTAGGATCGTAATTATGCGATCAAGAGATACATGGATAATCTGATTCAGATCAGAAGTAGTTAACCTTCTGCGTTACAGTAGGGAGTCTAATCGTATTTGTTAGGCGAGAGAGATTGTATTTAATTTGTTCTAACGTGAACAAAATTTCAAGAAATTGTAAGTAAGTATAGAATAGAAACACAGTGAGCAACTAAAATTAAATATTTTTCGAATGAAAATATTTTCGAAGGAAGGAAGTGTAAGTATAAGAAACTATAGGGTGTCCCAAAATTCACGCAAGATTTGTATCTTGCACCATTTGTGTGGTAAAGTGTTGACAACGAAAAGAAAAAGACAGCGTGACAGCTGATAGTTCAGGGTTATTAAAAATGGAACGCTATACGAAAAAGCAATGTGTCTTCATTGTTCAGCAATATTTACAATTTTTAATTAAAAACCTGTAATTTCTGTCAATTTTATCAATTACTTCTTGCGTAAATTTTGGGACACGCAATATAAAAGATAGTATAACCCTAACGTTATCTAGCGACACAATGACAGTGCTGCCTCTTACGAAGATTTTGTGTACCTACGTATATCTTTATCCGCCATACATATTAATAATTTGACGGAAAACTATGTTAATATCCAAGAACTAATGCAAATAAAAATTTACAATATTTAATTAAAAACCTGTAATTTCTGTCAATTTTATCAATTACTTCTTGCGTAAATTTTGGGACACGCAATATAAAAGATAGTATAACCCTAACGTTATCTAGCGACACAATGACAGTGCTGCCTCTTACGAAGATTTTGTGTACCTACGTATATCTTTATCCGCCATACATATTAATAATTTGACGGAAAACTATGTTAATATCCAAGAACTAATGCAAATAAAAATTTACAATATTTAATTAAAAACCTGTAATTTCTGTCCATTCCATCAATTACATCTTGTATAAATTTTGGGACACGTAGTATAAGGGAAGATAGTATAACCCTAATATTATCTAAGGACACAGTGACAGTGCTGCCTCTTACGAAGATTTTGTGTACCTACGTGTACCTTTATGGCGCCATATATATTAATAATTTGACGAAAAGCTACGTCAAAATCCAAGGAAGCACAAAATCCTAATGAAAACGAAAATTTACAATTTTTAATTAAAAACCTGTAATTTCTGTCAATTTTATCAATTACTTCTTGCGTAAATTTTGGGACACGCAATATAAAAGATAGTATAACCTTAAAGTTATCTAGCGACACAGTGACAGTGCTGCCTCTTACGAAGATTTTGTGTACCTACGTATATCTTTATCCGCCATACATATTAATGATTTGACGGAAAACTATGTTAATATCCAAGAACTAATGCAAATAAAAATTTACAATATTTAATTAAAAACCTGTAATTTCTGTTCATTTCATCAATTACATCTTGTATAAATTTTGGGACACGTAGTATAAGGGAAGATAGTATAACCCTAATATTATCTAAGGACACAGTGACAGTGCTGCCTCTTACGAAGATTTTGTGTACCTACGTGTACCTTTATGGCGCCATATATATTAATAATTTGACGAAAAGCTACGTCAAAATCCAAGGAAGCACAAAATCCTAATGAAAACGAAAATTTACAATTTTTAATTAAAAACCTGTAATTTCTGTCAATTTTATCAATTACTTCTTGCGTAAATTTTGGGACACGCAATATAAAAGATAGTATAACCTTAAAGTTATCTAGCGACACAGTGATAGTGCTGCCTCTTACGTAGATTTTGTGTATCTACGTATATCTTTATCGCGCCATATATTATTAATAATTTGACGAAAAACTACGCGAAAATGCAATAACTAATTGAAACAAAAATCATTTATCAAACTGAATATTAATTTCTACCGAATTAATAGAAGCAACTCGTAAGATCGAAGAATCAGCTGCACACGATGGAAACTGTAAATATCCTCAAGTATTCGCGTCACACCTACGGTTCACCGTGAATTCCTCCGACCCTTTGAAGGTCTTCGAGGAAAAATATCCCTCGTGAGAATCCCCGGTCGGTTTCAACCGATCGTGACTCGATTGATCACGATGACTACTCTAATCGCCGTCAATTGACACGACAGAGTCCGTTGTTGCACGTCCGCCTGTAATATCGAACGTCCGTCGGCTACGCTGTAATTTCAGCCGGCAGGAGGAAGATGGACGTTTTCGAATACTTAAATTCACGGCACGTGGAGCACGGCACGGCCGATTAAGTTCGTATATGTCGGCGCACACGTGTCAGCACGTGGATCTACCTGCTTCAAAGTCAGCTACGTGTGCGTCCCGTGCGTTGCCATATTGGCGCATGTACGAAAGAAACACGAGCGGAAGCACAAAAGATTCGATCTCTGCCAGGGAAGCGCTGTTCGATAGAGAGCCGGTCGGCCGGAAAATGATGATGGAACGCGCCGTGAGAAGAAACGGGTACGGGCTATCCAGTGTCACGATGAACACGGATTGATAAGGTGGATTTGGATGTAGCAGTTCGAAGATTGGAACCTGGTAACACTGTTGTAATAAACCGTAACCTTGCGGCGATGGTGTCAGGTGTGCACGTTGCAGGTCAATAGTAATTTTTGGGTCTCAGGGACCTTATGCTATTGGGCGGCCATGAAGAGGTCGTGCTTCGAATTTTGGTTTAAAAGGACCTTCCGTTCCCTGGAAAAGCTTAGTTTCAAACTCGGTACATTACGGTGAGCATTATAAGGCCATAAGGGAGGCCATAAGGACGCGTACATACTTTTACATCTGCATAAGTGTATTTGTATTCTTCACGAATAATAAACTATATATTCGTTGCTATACAACTGTGTACAATTAATTCCCTGCGCATTTTAACCCTTTCGCTACTATAGGTGATCATGGTCAACAACTACGAGACGCCATCTACACACGACGGGTGACTCTAGTCAAAAACTGCGAGATGCAGATACAAAGGGTTAATTTTATATTATTTTTCTT